TTCTGAAATCTGTACTGAACATCTGCTGGAGGTACCTAAACTAAACTAAACAGCTGTAGCAATGTCTATAACCGATGTCAATAAGCTGATATGGTGGTATATATTCCTTGAGGTCCAAATTTGCTTGTTGCATCATCAGCGGCTGGAAGTGTAGTTACTTCCAATAAATGGGTGAGCACTTTCTGGATTACCACCTAATGACATCATGCAGTAGGGATTAAGCGTTTGCAGTTCTCTTGAGGAAACCTAAATTTGCAAGATTACTCAAGCATGCGTGACTGAAACTAATCCATGTAATATTTTTCATGAAGACAAAAATATTGGCAAAAATAGCTTTCTTTGCAAAGTTGACTTCTTTTTGAGCTTTTTAGTCATGTTATAACATTGTTCCTTAATCAAACAACAGACCCGGAGTGCTTCTTGGATTCACCCACATTAACTCTACCGCTTCTATCAAACCTGTAATGATGTGATGTCATTGTTACCATATGACATCATGTTCAGAATATTGTTGTATTCTCGGTTGGCATTAGATAGATAGATCGATGGATAGATGTTTTTGTTACTTAAAATGTGATTGCGTGACTGTTTGCAGCCAGTAATTTTCAATTTTAAAAAAAACAATATATTCAATTTGACTCCTCCCTCTGGTGGTAGCATATGGCGTTACGTGCAGAAAACATGTTATTCCACTGTCTAAAACATTAAAGTAAATATTTTTATTGTTTTTAAAGGCAAACAACAGCATTGGTTTCAAACTGGCAAATTAATGCATAATGCTTCTTTACATTTAAGATCAATTTTCTCCCAGACCTACATTTCTCCTGTGTGCAATCAATAAAGTATATTTTATCTTATTTGTTGTGGGGAATAAAATAAAACTGGTTCATTTGACAAATATAAGAACACAAAATTTCAGCATCCCAAAGTGCCAGTCTAAGAGAGATACGGTTTTAGGAGTGATGAGTGGTTAGGATGATTGAAAGGAAAAGCTGTAGTGGAAAAATGAATTGCCAAGTAAAAGTAATCAGTCATAATTGCACCTGCGAAATAACTCAAAGATGCATTTAAAAGCTACCACACTGGGTCAACAGATTTCAAGCTGAAAACCAGTGATTACGGCTTTTGAAATTAAAATAATGGAATTTTTCAGACGTCGCTCTTAATCTGTAAAACCCAATACAGTCTGAGTTGGTAATTATATGGCGAAAGTACCGTAGCTTGCTTTTCTTTCCGATGCTGTGTTTGAAGTCGTTGGGAAGGTCATGGATTCTCCTATCAGGTGTGGACAGTCTGCGAGAGGCAGTGGGGAAATACTATTTTGTGCCGAGTAAAGGAGTTTGTGTTGGATTAGCTCCTGTTAAACCTACAATCCCTGCAGACAAACATCCTCTAAACCACAGTCTGCTGACCCACCAGACTGCTACGGACAAAATACACACACAAATATATGGTCAAATACACATAGGCAGGAAGAGATAATGATGTGTATATGCCGAGACTGTCATGGGATAGAAGAAAGATTGCTTTATCACGGTGGGGGAAAAGATGACCGAACATTTGTGAAGCAAAACAGACTTTGCATTTTTATAAGCATCATTGTAGATCATAGATTTTATTCAGTACAGTGGTTGCTTAATTAAGCCGTTAAAGCACCTGAGACAAAGTAGAGGCTGCTGTACTTTTGGATAATTAACTTTTCTCAGTAACTTTGTTGATACACAGTTGTACAACTAATTCTGCTACACATTGGCTTACAGTTGAAAACAAGAATGCATTGCAACAGGGGTGTCCAAACATTTTAGGAAGACAGCCACTTTAGACTGGAATCAGACACTCTCACTTCTCAGCAAGAAGGTCCTGGGTTTGAATCCCTGTCGGAACAGGGTCTTTGCGAGTGGAGTTTACATGTTCTGCTCCGGTTTCCCTTACCACTAAAAAACATGCACAATTGTTTAAATCCTGTAGCTCTGGTCCTGACCAAGTAGTGCACCAACAACTATAGATGGGCCCCGACCACTGCTCTTGACGGAAGCCATAGCCGCATCAGGATGGGTCAAATTCCACAGAGCCAATAAAGTGCACATTAATTTTTTTCCTGAGCTGTAAAATGAGGTCTAACACATATCAATTTATTTTTAACAGATCTGAGGTTGGCTGAACAAATCACAAATGTTTGCCATCTCACTATAGCACCTGTATGTGTAATGTGACACAATACAAAATAAAGTCAATATAAACAAAGTCAACGGCTGGATTCTAGATTATTCCAACAGGTACAGATTGCATGTATGGACTGAGCTGAAGTTGGTTGAATGATACTGAAGTTATGTTCATGATCTCAAAGACGAATCTGGGCCGGCAAAGCAGAGTGCCAAGTAAGGATAAATTATCAAAATTCAGCTTGAAAAAAAAAGTAATTGATTTTTAAATCACTGTGGCAGGTCATTTTGATCCGAAGATAGACCAAAGAAAAAAATCAACCGTTATTTTGTTTAACATATTCATTGTCGGACAAAATAATCCCAAAAAACTGGTAACAATGTTATAAATAAGTCTTTCTTGCCACACATTTCTTAATTACATTTCCTCCATCAGTACAACAGCTTTCATTTTTGCTGCTATGAATTTTTTTTTTTTTTATTTTTTATTATCATCTATCCAAGCCTACAGACTCTCCCCACTCTTATTTGTGTTGACAATACCATATGTCTGTGTTTCTCTGCCATTTCTCTAATAGTACTGCTTCTACAAAGTCAATCTCTTTGTCTGCTCCCCGCTCCCCTCCTCTCTGCTCCATACCTCCTGCTACTACATCTTTCCCACTCTTCAATTACCTTGTGGAAATGTGCAGGTCATTTTATTGATATTGCTGAACTGAAAGAAAGCGGGGGATAAAAGGATTGGGAGAATAAAAGCATAAGGTCCAAATACTGGTCTGTCTTTTCTTTTTTTGTTCGTGCAAAATAGACCACAGCAGCAATTTCTCACTGACTGAAATGTAGCTTGAAAAATCTTCCCTCTGATGGTTTGTCTTAAATGGAAAAGCTTTTAGTTTGAGCTTTTTGGTTTTGACCTGTTTCCTTATCCTTGGTTCACATCGGTTTGTCACATTTACACCTTAAACTTTGCAGCGGCTGAAAGATCGTTTTATGTGGTGCATAGTCCAACATTTGCTGAACTCGTCATGGATGTAATACGACCTAGTCGCGGGTGTTTGACTACGAACATGTCCGTCTTGCATAAATTCAATTGCAGCTGTTTGAAAAATCCCTGAGCGACAACATCAGTACATCTGACCTTTACTTTAACAAGGACACAACCAGGACTGCTTTAAAAAAGAGGTTTTTAATCTTAATGGGATTTTCCTGGTTAAATAAAGATAAAATAATGATAATAAATATGTATATACATTTAAAATGATTTATTGTTTGAAGTTCTTAGTCGAGAATGTATTTGCCATCTGCAGTAAGGCCACATTGGAAAAACTGCAAGACTACCGCAGTGTGCACAGTACACACCGGAGCTCCTGTTGTGTCAAATAATCAATCTTTTGTGTGGAATTTGGACCAGTATGTCCAAAAGTGACCTAAAAGACAATCCGTTTTAAATCCCTGTAAAGTAGGATTCTCCAACAATTCAGACTGTTGAATTTAAGGGCTTTAAAATGTATGCATCAAAAGTTTGAAGGTGATTTTTTTCTTTCTTTTTTTAACTAAAAACTTTGTTTAACCAGGGACTGAAATATTGCAAAAACAAATATTCCATTTTTGTTGTTGTACCGGTAGTTTATAGATTCAGGTCTATCCAAAATTCAGAATCTGGTTTTTTTCACAGAATTTCACTCTGCATTGACATTTTCAGTGTATTAATCATTTCAAAGGCGTTTGTGTCATTTTGAAATTTGAATTACACAAGTTGACAGCCAAAAAATGTTCAGGGGTCTCTCAACTGATTTAGACTAATGTTGGTGTTCTGAGTCCGATTATCACATGCATTTTGCTCTATCAGGTTAACTTTTTGAGATACAGCCATAGTGTTACGGATTACGTACGTCTACGTTATTATGAATTCTGCTTATCAAATTTGATGGAGTAAATAAAATCGTATTGACTTTGGATATGTTGACTTTAATTTCTGGAGGAAAACGGAAAAAAACGTCAAGGGTTTCTCAGCTGATGATCCGCAGAAATTTGTTTTTTACGCAAAATTGATAAAAAAAAATATTTCTGTAGCAAATAATCCTGACCTGATTGAGCAAAACCAAGGTCATTTTCGGACTCAGAGCATCAAAATTAGTCTAATTCAGCTGAAAAACCCTGGACTATTTTCAAAAAATGTTTTTTTGTTACCCAGTGTTATCTTTGAAATATGTAAACGGAATTTTTAGTGACTGAAATGCAAAGACAAAAACATTCAAGCATGATTTTTCTTGTGTAAAAATTTCAAATGGAAAAAAGTCAACCTCATTTAAAATCTGATGACACAAATTATAACGTCTAGATCCCAATTTACACTTCCAAATATATGATTGTAATTCACTCATAATAACATTATCTTTCAGTATATTTTGGGGACCTGGGGGAACTTTTTAATTGTAAGGGGTGCAAGGTTTTGTGATTCTAATGTTTTTTCTTTTTTCTTTTAAGTGTGTGTTTAATGGTGATTTTGGTGTTTTATGGGATGATCTGTGCCTTGTGTAGTGTGAACTGGGAAGCGCCTTGGTTTTGCTCTGTATAGGAAAGGCACTCTACAATTAAATATTGACAGATTGAAAGTTATCTAACTTTAGGGACAATGTAAACCAAAATACAATTTCTCTCTTTCTCTCCTAGACCGAAAAACATGTTATGCCCCCCTAGGTATTCAGTTTTATTTATATATGCTTATATATTCTCTTATTGCAATAAAAAAAACTGTGAACCTTAATTTACACAAAGCTGCCCAACAAATGTATAACTCATGCGTAATTATAGCTGTGATTGATTGTTTGTCCACAGAAAGAAGAAGTTCCACGTGGGCCTTACTTTATCCCAGAGAGTGGGAAAGAGCAGCTGATGTTCGAGATCCCACTGAACGACACGGGATCGGCTGGACTCGGTGTCAGCCTCAAAGGAAACAAGTCCAGAGAGACCGGGGAGGACCTGGGCATCTTTGTCAAATCCATCATTCACGGAGGAGCCGCTCACAAGGTGAGAATCTCTCTTCAGGCTACCACAAGGAATGCCCCTTTTTAAACGTGTTTTACCCAAAAATAATGGAATGCCAATGTCTAAAGTGTTCACATGGGGCATTAGACTATCTTCTTTTGTGACTGACCTCCAAATGAGGTTTTAAACTTTCCTTAAAAGTACCAGTTATTCAACCTAGTCCACCATACCATCGTACTCATTTCATTTCGTAAGGTCTGGATTGGCTTCATTGAGCTCTTTTTTTCAGGTGGGAGGGGTTGACTCCTTTTGCAGATTGAAACGATTGGATCTGAGTTTACCGTGACAAATGTAATGCGCCCGAGTGAGTGAGGCATTTAGTATGTAGCCTAGATTAGCATTTAACATTGAATTAGCATTTAGCTTAAATTGCCAACAAATTTTGCACAAACTCTGGACCACACCAGCATTAACTAGCAAGTAACTAAGAATTAGAAACAAAACTATTTAAATTAATTTCTTTGTGTTGTTTACTTGTGTTTATGTTTGTTTTTTTCTTCTTCTCTATTTTTCTTTTTTTTTTTATTGTCTTGTTTTTGTGTCATACTTGTTCGGTTTGGGATTTTTCTTCTGTGTTTTTCTTTTTATGTTGTATTATTTTTGTGTTCTTGTTGAATGTTGATGCGTTTGTCTGCTTTGCTGTCTTTAATAAGAAAATAAAAAAAATAAAACATGTATGTCTGGATTGAGCTTCCACCCAAAATCACAAGCAGTCCTCACAGGGCAGTTTTTCTAATCTTCACCAAATCACAGCGTGCTTCATTCAGCCCAGACTCTGACAGACAACAGCACTTACCCCACACCTGTGCCGCTCTTTCACTGGACACTCTGTGAAGTGGCACACTGGGATTGAAGCATGTTTTATTTTATCTGACAGGGAGTCATTTTGAAAACACAGCTGACAAAGATGTTTTTACCTCTAACTTTTGACACACTGTTGAATTATCGTCAACTAGGGATGCTCAACTGTAAAGCTTTATATGTACCTTGCATTCACTGTACACTTGTTATTGCTCAAAAAACAGTGACTACATTACTAAAACAGTTTTGGGTGTCCATAGATTTGAACTGTAATAATGAAACTAATACATCTTTATCTGTTGCACAGTCAGCATGGTAAACAATAAACACACACTCTCTGGTCTCTCTCTGGTCTGTCTTTCTGGTACGACTTTCTGGTCTCTCTCCCAGGTCTCTCTCTGGTCTCTCTAGTCTCTTTCTGGTCCCTCTCTCTGGTCCCTCTCTTTGGTCTTGCTCTAGTCTCTCTCTGGTCGGTCTCTGATCTCTCTCTCTCTGGTCTCTCTCAGGTCTCCCTCTGGTCTCTCTCTGGTCTTTCTCTCAGGTCTCTCTCAGTTCTCTCTTAGGTCTCTCTCTGGTCTCTCTCTGGTGTATTTGGGCAGGCCATTCCAAAAACCACAGATCTGCAGCATAAAAAAACATCTAACAACACATTTAACCCTCTGTATTTACTGTATATTTATAAATGTTTGGAAAAATTTGAGTGGACCCCAGACTTTTAAACCCTTTTCCTTTCCTACTCCTCACACTTTGCACCTGTGTGTTGAGCAGGACAGCCGGCTGCGAGTGAATGACCAGTTGGTGGCCGTGAACGGGGAGTCTTTGCTCGGAAGATCGAACCACGACGCCATGGAAACGCTCCGCCGCTCCATGTCCCAGGAGGGGAATGTCAGGGGCACCATTCAGCTGGTTATCCTCCGGTTGTTGCTGGTACTAACACATCTATTCATTACTCCTTTTTTACCCAGGGAGCTACGCTACTCCAGAGGGAGACCAGAGGGAGAGACCTGAGAGAGAGACCTGAGAGAGAGAGACCTGAGAGAGAGAGACCTGAGAGAGAGAGAGACCTGAGAGAGAGAGAGACCAGAGAGAGAGAGAGAGAGAGAGAGACCAGAGAGAGAGAGAGACCAGAGAGACCAGAGAGAGAGAGAGACCAGAGAGAAGAGAGAGAGAGAGAGACCAGAGAGAGAGAGAGACCAGAGAGAGAGGCCAGTAGGGATGGGAACCTAAGGTTACCTCACGACGCGATACAAAGCTCACGATTATGATTATATCACGATAATGATTATATCACGATATGACGATTAGCGATATATTGGTCAGCAATATACTGTACCATATGCCAATATATGGCATACATAAAATAGAAAAATACTAAGTGAAAAAATACGCTTTATTTCATGATAAATGGAATGGAGATGTGTAATCTAGCCATATATTAAGTATTGATACTAATTATAAAATTTAAAAAAAATCAATACTTGGCAAATGCATATCAATAATCGATCGCAGGAGAAAGTATCGCGATATATCGAAAAATCGATATATCGTCACACTCCTAGGGACCAGAAAGAGTGACCAGAGAGAGGGACCAGAGAGAGGGACCAGAAAATGTATTAAAAAATGTATTGATGTGAAAGAGCCTAATATTTGGTACAGTCATTATTTATCCGCACATATTTATTAATAGTGAGAAACTAAGGAAATTTACAATAATATATAATAATAAGGAATAATACAATATGAAGTGAAGTATATGATTTGGTTTGTTCATTTCTAAATCCTTTGGCGAGCTACACTGAAAAAATCACAAAAATATGTATTCGTAAAATACCTCTTAAAATAGGCAAGGCAAGTTTATTTGTATAGCACAATTCATACACAAGGCAAATCAAATTGCTGAACAAAATAAGAAAGCATTAAAATCATAAATAATCACAGTACATTAAAAATTAATATAAAAATATAAAATATACAATCCCTCAGTTGTATGCAGTTGTAACAGAACTGTTTTTAACCTGGTTTTAAACATTGTCAGAGAGGAAGCCTGTCTCACATCTTCAGGGAGATTGTTCCAGATTTTAGCAGGATGAATCTGAAAAGCAGCCTCCCCATGTTTAGTTCCGACTCTGGGCACTAACAGGATTCCAGTCCCTGTGCTCCTCAAAGTCCGGGCTGGTTCATATGGGACTAACATGTCACTAATATATTTCATAAAATAATAAGAATGAGCTGCAAATAGAAGAAGAAATCTTGACTTAATGATATTTCTTAAAATAAGACTCTAACACTAGCCCCAGACAACTTGATTCTAGAATAAAAACATACTTCTTATTTCTTAATTTTTTTATCATAAGAAAAATGCTAGTAACTTAAAACTAGTAAAATAATCATGACTAATACATAATAAAAAACATACATGACAAACTACTTTAAAAAAACAAAACTTGCCATTATAAAAAGAAGCATCATTTCTTTTGTTTTTAGTAAATTGACCTTTCATTGCTTTTCAATGGGGGGAAGATGACCAAAGAATTACATGTATTGTTCCATTTCTTATGCAAAATATGCTTTTAAGAGCCCTGATGTACTGTTTTCTCCTCTCACGTTTTGGCTTAATTACACTGATTATTATCTTTAATTGATTTTTACTCTCTTGCATTTAGCACAGAAGCTTTTCGGTACATGGTGATTTGGCAACATCACATTTATTTAAATAAGTAATGTCCTCAGTGGCTCCGTTGGTAGAGCTTTTGAGCATAAAGGTTGTGGGTTCGATCCCCACATGAGACCTTGTCCACTGACTCTCACTGATGTCTGCTGTTATTGTGAAGGGATCAGTGAGGGGCTGGTGCTCTGTGAATTGGGTACAGCTCGGACTGTGGATGAAGAAGGTGGATGGATGGATCTTTAATAGATTTTTGACAGAAGTTTTTTTGAACATGGTGAAGCACAACAGATTTGGCATATTTAATGTCCACAGTCACTAATGCTCTCTGTGCTCATCAGAGGGTCAGGTCTCGGTCAGGTCTAGCCGTAGACTGTAAATATTAACGTGCGTAGTCATGCCTATCTCTGGCGTTGAAACTAATGTGCCATCACTTTTATCTTCTATGGGGCTTTGCTGTTACCAGCCCTATTCATTTAACAAGTGCATTCAAAAGTCCACAGCGACTAAACTGGACTGGCCCAAAAGAATTACTCACCTCAGCATAGACAAAACCTAATGTAGGAGCCTAAACACAGCCTATTATTTCTATTTGAATAGAAGAATTTGTTATTTTTGGTCGTTTTTCCAGGATTCTGGCTCCAGGCCACTTAAGGCACAGGTGTGTCATGGGCACAGTATGGAGTGGAGCTTTTTGACCTTGCTCCCTGACTGATTCTTACCTTTTTCCTTACTCAGGACAAAAATAACTATTTACCTAGTTTTATTTTGCTTTTTTTTCCCCTGTAAAAGTTTTGATTGCACCTACCTCTCATGGGTTTATTTGCTGCAAACGTCTAATATTAATCCTCCACAGGAATATTAATATTGTGATTCAAGCTAGCTCTAGTCTTTTTTTTTTTTTTTTTTTTTTTTTATGACCGAAAGATTTGCAACACCGCCAATTCCACACTGTGTCTACTATTTCTCACTGTAAAAAAGTGACAAAATATAAGGAGATTAATGCTTTTAACTTCTTTTTTTATCTCAACTGTAGTATGTTTTGACTCTCTTAGAACAAGATTGGCCAATGGAACTAGCAGTTTAGTCTTATGTTTTTAGTCTTATGTCTTTTTTTTTGTATTTATGTATTTATATCTCATTCAAAGGAAGACATTTCTTGAATTATCTTGTATATTTTTAAAACAAGACATCATTGCTTGCAAAAGAAAAAATTGAGAAGGAAGCACTCTGAGAACTGTGTTCTTTTTAATGAGAGCGACGCGTTTCGACCAGAGTCTTCGTCAGGGCAGTGAGTGTCGCAGCTGACACTGCTGATTTTAAGGCGTCAAACACCATGTGACAATGCAATATGTACAAAATACATACATGAAAATGAAATAAATAAAATAAAATAACAGAGCAACAAAATAAGTCAGAAGTTTGAGTATAACTGACAACACATTATTGCTTTTCCCATTGACAAGTCTTGTTTTTAGATAGTCAAAATGTACCTAAATTAAGATAAAAACACTTCATTCACACAATTATCACCTTATATTTTATAATTTTTTGCAGTGCACAAGCTGAAGCTAAAGCCCATCTATTCTTACACTTTCCTCTTTTGTCTATTTTTTGCCTATTTTACTCTATCTTTCCATCTCCTCTCCTGCCTGTCTCTCCTTCCCTTTCTCTGTGCACGAGTCACTGTAGCTCTGTATCCTCTTTCTTTGTGTTGAAAAGGTCCTTTCTATCGCGGCTCTCGGCTCCTTTTTTATGCCGCTCTGTAGATTATTTGCACAAACCCTTGAGCTCATAAAGCCGGTGCTTGGCTGGAGTGTGAATGGCCTTTTGCATGTTCCGCCTCAAGTGAATGAAAAACACACTGCTGTACGCTGCATTAGCCGAGCTCTTGTGCTTAATAGAGGCTCTGTTTTTATACTTAATGTTGTAGAAAGGTGCTCGCTGTTCTGGAAACGGTCAAACTAGAGTTCAAGTCTGGGAAAGAACATTCTGAATGTCGCCTAGACTTTGATTTCTTTTACTTTTCTTAACTGTGACCTACTTTGCTTTGTTCTGTTATAGTCATAATCAGCTATTTCTATTATGTTATGTCTCATTTATATTTTATTTATTTTGTGCCAAGAGGCCCGAGCGGTGCTATCAAATCCTGATCACAGATTAAGTAAAGCTGTTTTGGCTAACTTTTATTTTCAAGAGAGAGCCCTGGGACTCACTTCTTAACAGAAGCATTATTCTTCCGAGAGGGAAGAATAATTGTAATTTTGTCAATCTAAAAAAAGTAGTTAAAGTAGCACTATGTAAACATCTGGCCAAAAGTGGTACTGCAACCTCTCCCACTCTCCCTGACTCGGGGTACCAGATATGCAGACGAATCCAGCTGAATAGACAAGAGTTTTGTCAACAACAAATCTCTAACCAAAACCTTTTTTCACAAAGATAGAAATCCTGGTTTTATTCCTTGTTTTGTTATTAATGATTTGAGAATCATAACAAGACCTTTTTTAGTACTGCAGCCAGGGAGATTAGCTTATCAAGGTGAGTTCTGGCAACCTGGTTCACAAACTTTCTGATTGGTGAAACATTGGAGGGTGGGACATTGAAATTAAAACAGGTTTTAGGGGCTGTAAATCCCATTTTGAAATTCAAATATTTCTGAACTACAGTTATCAGTTAAAGAAGTATTGGAAAAGACCATGGTTTGTTAAAGCCTTCTGACATATTAGGGCCCTTTTAATGATGACTTGACATGAAAATCTTACACATTGCTATTTTAGATATTCCAATAAGTGCCCTTAAGAGCTTTTTTTCTTTAGAAAATGTTGTACACTGTTGTATTTTTTCTGGGCTTTAATCAAATGAACAAAACATATCTATTTCAAAAACTCTGAGAAATGTGGAAAATTAGGACAAACTCATTCGGATGGCCCTTTAATTGCAGTTTCAGTTCTTACATAGGTTTTTCAGTTGGCAAAGAGTTGCTTTCAGACAGAATCATTTTTCGCGACAGCTTCTTCACAAGACAATCTTGTGCAAACTGGATCCAGATGTTATGTCTGTGTTTGTCCACTTGGGGAAGGCTGTTGTTCTTTATTGTTCAAACAAACAATTACAATAAAACTTTCCATTCACTGATTGAGGATTTGGCTCAAAAATCGTGTTGAATTATTCCTATTAGGGATGTACCGAATCCAGGTTTTTGGGGTTCGGCCGAATACCGAATCCACTGGTTAAGATTCTGCCGAATCCGAACCCGAATACCGAATCCTATTCCATCGTCAGTCCATTGATGTTTCATATGCAAATGTTTTAACAGCGGCGGTGTTGTGTACCGTTTAGGTCCTTACCACCACGAGACAAATCTGCATTGCAAATTGGACATGTAGCTCGACCAGAATCTATTATTATAACATTTATAATAATCCTGCTTATCATTAAACACAAATACATTCAGTTCACAGCAGTGTAAAACTTCAGTGATGTACAGTGAAGTACATATATTACTGTGCATGTCATGTAGAAATAAGAGCTAAAGCACCATACATGCATAAATAGCTTCCACTGGTTCAGGTCAAAACATTACATATATGGACATTTGAGAAATATGCCAAACTCGTAGAGACAAGTTGAGAGAAGCTAATGCTAAGAGGCTAGTTGCCTAAACATGGACTCACCAACTCTGCTTCCACAGTCATACGCAGCTCAGATGATCAGAAGTACCTGGCACTGGTAATCGGCTCCATAAAGTTGGTGAATAGGCAGTTAGTTTATGATCCATCAGAACCGCATTACAGGTGAAAACAAGAATCATAACATCCCCTCGCTCCGGCGTATAACTAGAGCTAATTGGCCCGCGGGGATCACATGACCAGGAAGAGACCTCAGCGCACCCAAAGAGGAACAGAGAGCAAGAGGATATAAACCTCCGCTAAAGTGCATGTTTATTTACACTTCCGAACAAATCTGATTTCCGTGACAAATCCAACAGCCACAGCGCGCATAGTGTAAGTGCAGGGTTCGGGTTCGGTGGGGAAAAATTCTAAGGTTCGGCCAGAAACCGAACCCCGTCAAAAAAGCCAATATTCGGCCGAACCCGAATCCTGGATTCGGTACGTCCCTAATTCCTATCCTTATATATTTTATTATTATGTATATTAGTTATGCTGCCAAAGGATAAGCCCTCTTGATCTTCCCACTTTTGCTTTGATTTTCTACTATTGACTGGATCTATTTTTGTCCTTTTGCCTCATTTCAATGTAATCCATAATTGCCTATACAGTAGTGTTGTGCATGGACTAATTGGCCCTGCAGATGTATCTGTGGAGCCATTGACTGTCAATAGGTTTGAGCTGAGTGCTGTTTGCGACTTCAAAGCAAGGCCTGCTCTGTGGTTTTGTCTTAAGAATAGAAGGGGATAGATAAAAACCCTGGATGAAGGCAGATTGATAATGACTGTACCTTTTTAAAAGCTTTTTGGGCTTAAGTATTGATGCTTTTAACATTACAAAAGTGGCCCACTCTCGTCTGTCCTCTGATCTTCTCTCTCGTGCCCCTCTCCTTATGCTGTGAACTCCTCTAATCTACCACTTTCTACATTTCCTTTCATTCACTGACCATTCAAATGAGTTCATATTCCGGTCAGGATTTCCATAGATGTGTATAATAATTGCAAACCTTTATATTGACATTTTTGTTTTTCTAATGTATGCAATTAAGTCTAATCAATGCATTCTTTCCGATCATACTTATGTTGTGACCTAGAAGTGAGTCATCTGCTTTTCTCAATAAAGAAATATATGCTCTACGGTTGCACACCCTTAATTGAAAAACACTAGAGTGTATATGTTTGCAACAGGGTTCATAATAACAGCCTCTTTTTGATATCGAGTTTTGGTAGTAGTAAAATGTGAAAACCAATGAACATAACTGTAAATGATTTTCTTTACTTTCACTTACTCACTTTTTTCATTTTATTTCATTTATTTATTTATTGACTTCAGACAAACGCAATCGACAGTATAAATGCGTCGGACTTATCAAAACTGTGACATTTCAGCCGCAGTCCCAAGACAGGTTTCGAAGTACCAGAGACTCAAAAGACTAAAACCTCACAACGACGAATCATACAGTAAATAATGTCAAGGCAGAACAAAACCGGACAAAATAACGACGAAGCAGACTCAAACAGACGAGATAAAACAGACTTTATTACGATACAATATACTGGAAACATTTTGAACTGAATTAATGATTGCCCATATACAGTTTGATGCCCAGGGACAACGTCAGCATATATCAGTGGGAGCAGATGATATGGGTTGTGGGGGGATCGAACCCACGACCATTCGGTTCAAAAACCAAAATGAATAAAAACATGAAGTAAGATAAGATAAATAAACATAAAACAATAACTTAAATAAAAACATGAAAAAGTAAGATAAAAAACATAATAAGATTAATAAAAACACAAAACAATAAAATAGAGGACAATAACAAGGATTATAACACGGTTCACCTTTTGATGTCTCGCTGTATTATGGATTTTTGTTTTTTTCTACACTGTGCTTCTCATACGTGTGTCTACTCAAACATGTACATGCTAGTATAACATGACAACTACAGTTATTTAAAGTCAGAAGAAAGCTTTTGTGGCTCGTCATGGTGTGATAAGTTCAGTTCAATAGCTCCTTCCCCTCACCACGGTGTCCTCTGCTGCTGTATTTTGCACACTGTAAAATGCATGGCTTTTGACAGCTGCAGCAGCGCTCAGACCTACAACGAACAGGTTTGAAAACTCTGCGATCGCACTTCAGCAGGGGGTTAAACAGCCTTAAAACATTTTGCTTACGCCAGGTTAATTCTGAAACTTAACCCCAGGGATAAATGAAGGAGCACACACCTTTAATTCAGTTTCCCAAATAGACTAGATTCTTGGACCTCTAACTGTAGATGAAAGAATGGACTCATCTGTGGGCTATGATAAAACAATGCATTTTCAAACGGGAAAGCTTGCATCCATAATTCAAATTAATGCAAATGAAATTCAGTTTGAAATAGTGAACTTCCTGTAAAAAAGCACAGCACTATTAGATTATCAGGGGCAATAAACGGATGAGTTCTCGAGAGGATCCAAGTTGAGCGTCTGAAAATTAAACTGGTTTGTCTGTGTGGGTCATGGGAAAGCGGTCCTCTATTCACGTTTTTTTTACTTTACTCTTTCTTGTGTCAAAATAGAGCTTGAAAGCAGCACAAATCTCTCAATTACTGAACTGGGTGCTTCTTTTTTGATGCAAACGAGAGAAGATCTGAATGTGTGTGTTGTATATTGTTGTGTAAGCTTTGCTTTTGTTTTGGGCTTGTGTCTTTAGGATCACCCAGGGGTGTCTCCAAATCGCTCCTTTGACAGTTCGTCTGGGATAAGGATGAGTCCAGTGAATGGACAAAGTAACGGCAGCTTCCATCCCGCAATGGTCAACAATGTCCTCTATGGATCGAATGGTAAGTCAGCAGAAATAAATAAGGTACTGTATTCTGTACAAGTCTCTGTACCCACTGCCTCTCCCGCGCCATGGCTATTATAATAGATCCATGATCCATGGACGCTACGCATGGTGCGGTTGTTTTTTTTGCTTTTCCCAGAACGTTTTGCGGTTTGTAGTCAGCTGTGATAGGTCGAGAAGCCTTTGCCTACATACCCCAGAATGCCGTGCGCTTCTGACTCTGCTTTACTTCCTGTGTTTTGTTCCTGTTTTTTTCGAACGGACTGAAGTGAAACTATCAAAGTTCTATTTTTTTTTTGCGCAAAGTTAGATTCAGATTCATCCATCCATTTTCTTAGCTCTGTTTTTTTCTGGGTCGAGGTGTTTGCGATCAGAGCTGAACCTAATTCGCTTGATCTTTCAGCTGGGGCTCCAGGCATAGTAGGGTTAAGTGTCCTGCTCAAGGACACAAGGGAGTCAGTGGAGAAGGTCTTGTGATGGCATCGAACCCACGATCGAGCCACAGTCGCCCCTTTTGATTCAGATTCATTGCCTTTTGCTGTAACATCACATTGGAATACATGCGCAGAAGTCCCTAGTGTGCACAAGACTAGTACATTTATAAAACAAGTTAAAATAAAATGCAGGAATAAACCAAACTTAAAACCACAGGGAAGAATTGTCGCTGTGAAATTGATCAACAAAAACCGCTTCAGTACAGCTGCAAGGAAATTAAAGAGCTTTGTTCAAAATGATAACGGGTTGAGCAAAGTATTGAAGTCTTGAAATCAACAGTAGTCATCATGGAGGACTTCACAAAACTGATCGATTTGCCGACACAGATCAGAGAATCAGAAACATAGTGCAAACACAAAAAATGCAATGATTCAAAAACACATAGGTATTTAACAGGCGGAGACCATTATCCATAAATGTTGAGAAAAGTCCATAAATGTGGTTGAATGTCGAGTGTTCTGGATCATCACCTCTGTCCCTGGACGCTCCTGTATCATCACTGAACCTGTGTTATTTATTCTAGCCTCATAACATGATCTTGAGAATTTTTGTTTTTTGGTTCAAGGCAAAACGTGTATGTTCCATAGAAATTATAATAGTGGTAGAAGTTGAACATTCCCGTTGGCTCTTTTAGCAACATTCGAAAATGGCTCAGTGTAATCGAAGGAAGCCATTTGTAAATTTACTGGAGAAATTAACTATAGAGTGATTTTAGAGAAACTGCAGAAAATGGTTTTCTCCATAAGGCCAGGTTTGTGCCAGAAGGTTCTGATTTGTGTAGGATGGAACTAAAACAACTCCAGGTGGTTTTTGATAAGGGAACAATGTTGTTAACATGGTAAAATTATTTAACTTCACAATTTAACTCTCATTTCAGTCAGAAAAAAACAACATAAATATCACAATACGTAGATGTCTTAAAAAAGCACAACAACATGATCTGAAAATGTTTTACTGTGCTATATGTATTTTTGATTTATTTGTCATGAATACAAAATATTCCATCTCACGGTGGCACAGTGGTTAGCAAGGCCCTGGGTGAGGTTCCTGGGCTAGGTGGGGCCTTTTTATGTAGAGTTTGCATGTTCTCCCGGTGTCTGAGTTTGGTTTCTTCCGGATGCTCTGGTTTCCCCTACCACTAAGGAACATATACAATTGTCGTTAGCGTTAATTTAGTGTTTGTGAATGCAACTTTGGGACAATTATAGAAAATTAAATCAACAAAAGTTTCCTCCAGGTGCTCCAGTTTCCCCTACCACTAAAATCATAAAAAAAGGTAAAATCCTCAAGAACCGGTAGTCTTTGACCAAGTCTTTGACCAAGTCTTTGACCAAGTCTTTGACCAAGTCTTTGACCAAGTCTTTGACCAAGTCTTTGACCAAGTCTTTGAGCAATGCTGTAGGGAAGAATTCTCTACAGAGTATAATAGCAGTTGCCCTCAGCATCTGCCACCTTGCCAGTCATTATTTTCTTCGACCAAAACATCTGGTGGAAAAAGACTTCTATGAGCTGTTGTAAGGACTAGCTCAATTTGAACATATTGCACAAAAATTCGGGCGACAGTGGCTCAGTTGGTAGAGCATTGGCCTTTGAGCCTGAAGGTCGTGGGTTCGAGCCCACCACAAGACCTACTTCATGACTCCCACTGATGACTGCTGTTGTTACAATTAACCCCACTTTGCCTGAAGCCCCCGCTGAAAGATCTCAGCTCCTGTGGACTCACCATCTGCAGGAGGATCAGTGAGGGGCTGGTGCTCTCTGTACTGGGTGCAGCTCTGACTGCCACCCCCTGACCCAAAAATGGATTAAGGGGAAGAAAATGGATGGATGGATGCACAAAGTCTCATAAAAGATCTATTCTTTCTTTGGCTTTCGAAGACGTGAGTAATTCACAAAAAAGACAATTTCAATACATAGCACCATCATTACAGTTTTTTCAGCAGAAAGACGTCAGTGAGCCATATCCAATTGAATACATTCCACATTATTTGTATAGCACATTTTATAAAACAAGTTTCCAAAGAGCTGCACAGATAAACGTTTAAATATACAGGGTTTCTAGATTTACATGTATAAAGAAAATATAATAAGTCAAATATTTTCCTATATGAAGTTATAATAAAAGTATAATAGAAACAATAAAATACCAGTGTTACCATATGCATCCATTTGTAATACAAAATCAGTCACTCTTTCTGCTCATATATAAGACATAAACTCCTCTGTCATCCTCACTGGCTCGTTCTGGTCCTCATTCCAGCTGACACTACCTTCTCCGTCTGTTTGTTAGTCTTTTGTGTATTATTTTTGCTTCTGAAAAGGCATCAAAGGTGGGCACGTCGTTGGCTCCGGGTTTAAAAAAAGAAAACTGGCAACCACTTAAGTTACTCGCTAAGACAAATGCTAGCGAGATAAAACAAGCTAAGAACAACGTGGAACCACACAGATACTGCGTCTGTAATTACAGACCTCCGTGGCCCAAGTCCCTTTCATTTTTTACCAAGTTTTTTTTCCCTCTCTTGGCTTGACTGTTATTACTGGGTTTTGGGCTGGAGTTATTTTAGTATATACTGCTTCATGTTACCAGCTGGTCGACTGCTGTCATCATAATTGGTTCCCATTTTTAGGTGGAGTCCTAAACAATCACTTCATGTTTTACAAATTGTAGTACATTTTTAGTTTTTTGTCCCTCTCGTCTATATATAGATGACTGTTGCGTTTGGGGTTTGGTTTTTCCACTAACTACACATTTTATGATTGATTCCGTTGCTGGATCCACATGTTCCTCCATTGGGACATGTCTTAAAGTATGTGGCGACAGGATTTTTAAAACTAACGTGATTGATTTGGTGATTTTGGAATGAAAAGCTCTTTGTGATGGTGGATAGTCCAATCTTGGTCTGAAGATGGAAAAAAACACATTTTAATGCTGACGCTGAAGAAACTTCTCAGTAATCAAAAACAAGTGTCGGTAGACTGACAGTCAAACCACATATATATTCCTAAAATGACATTAAAATCTACTTTCAACTATTTCCATGCTAAGTCTTACGTCTGTGTTGTACAGTGGTCTATACCAGGCGTACCAGGAGTATTTTAGGGATACTGTAAATGATTATCAAAATATGCCAACTTTTGGCTACTATTTATTTACATCATTTTAAATCTGTTTTTTTTGTTAATCATATAATCTATTACATTCAAAACATTGAATCCACACAATTAATAATATTTGTTCCATCAGTAAGCAAGGCTTTCGTCTTTCTGGTCCACTTTCTGGTACTGGTAAAATTCTGAAAGTCAAGATGAATTAAATGGCTAATTCGGTCAAAATACTTTCTTAACGTAAACCAATAAGATCATATCAAAATATTCAGCCACAAATGAGTTGTTGTCAAAACTTGTCAAAAAGAAAAATGAGGAACTAGACATTTCTTGTGTCCTTTTAAAACAAGATACTTTTGCTTTGTCCTGGTGGAAAATCTTGTTTAAGGATTAAGATACATTTTGCCAAATTTGAGCAATTTTTTACTTACTTTTCATAAGTAAAAATCTGAACTCTGAACAATTGTAAAGTGCTTTTGGTGACCTTGGTCTGTAAAATGCGCCATATATGCTTCAATGCACGCCACCTCAAGCCTTTTCTGTCTGTTCATCCAGTCATCACATACACAGTAATGGATGAATTGTGTATTTTGACATTTAAGTAAAAGTTACAAATGCATAGTATGTAGAAGTTAGTTGTTGTAGTGCTTGTTAATGAGTGCTCACATGTTTGAAGACTTTTTGATCTCCTGTTATCACACACATGCTAATACACAAATTATTATGCTTTATTTAGCATTGAAGTCCAAATTACAATGTATCGAGAGTGTTTCTCTGTTCTGAAGCGGGAATACACTGGATCTAATGAGACTCTACATATTTATGAATGCAGATCGGCCCCTTTATCTCGTGCATCTCATTTCGCACGGAATTTTTCTCACACTTTTCCCTCCGTGTGCACTTTGTGTGTTTGAGTTTTAGCTTTCCCTCGAGGGCCGTTCCAGTTGACGGGAGGAAGTTTCTGCGGCTAGCTCAAGTTATTATGCAATCCACACATATTTTTGTTTGTCAGGCGCATTTACATTTGTTTTTATAGCACAAACAAACCCAAAATGGCGACGCATTTTAATTATAAAGTTAGTTCATCTGTCTTTTGAAGCGTCACTTTGGTTTTCAGAAATCAGAGGGAATCTCATTATAAAGTGAGGCCCCCATAGTCCAGTGTTCCCCAACCTCTTTGAGCCGTGAACTAACAATGCAAAGACATTCTCATCAAATTGTATTATGTAGGAAGTCAAACAAGCACAAAAATTCTTTCTATTATTATACATTATTTCCTTTTCACCTTGTTTTGACCATTGAGATCATATTGGTTCATTTCAATATAATTTTCATTAATCTAATTTTGTTAATATAATTTTGAATGGGAAATAGAAAAAATCTGATTTAAAAAAAACA